GTTAGTAACCCAGTATAGTGACAGTATCAAGTGAAAACGTTTCTGTCTGTCTGAAGCCATCTGCTTTTAACTCAGGGGAATTGAAAGTAACGAGTGCAATGCCTGCTTTTCATGTGCTATGTTTCACCTGAGCTGAAGGGAAACCAACTGCTGGAATGGCCCAGTGAAAAGCAATGATGTGCAAGAGGCCTTCAAACCACTTCCTGTCTGTTGGTTAGTCTACATGAAGTGACATGGTGGTTGCATCCTGCAGAGACTGACTTTGAGCTCTGATTGGGCTGCATCAGTGACAGGACGGGTGCAAAGCTTGCTTTCTTCTTCTTCTTCTTCTTCTTCTTCTTCTTCTTCTTCTTCTTCTTCTTCTTCTTCTGTGTTCTTAGAAAGAAAATGATAGATTAGAAAAGTGATACATAACAACAAACATAAGATAATGACAGAAAACTAAAATAGCAAAACTGCAACACACTTCCATATATTACTTATAAAGTCTACCAATGAGCGTAGCTCTGTACCTGTGAGGTCATCTTACACATTACACCTTCAGTGCATGCAACCACGGTATGAGTGCACATGAATGATCCAACAAAACCATACCTGTGTGTGAAGATTGTGGATTAGAGTGAACTTAGAGTTTGTAAATTGTGTTTTTGACACTTCATGGTCCATCACAGGCAAGAAAAAAAACGTGTAGGCCAAAACACAAGTGATTAATTTTAGGTTAAAAGCAAGATGAGGTTGCAATGTGACCAGCAGAGATATAACGTGTTAATTAGTGAGCTTAATTTATACTTTCTGCAGCTGTGTGTTTTCCAGCGATGTAAATTTTGTCATCTGGTCATGTGCTTGTAAAGCGCAGACTGTACACGTGTCTGTCTGTCCTCAAATCAGGATTTTCACAGTGGACTCAGAGTTAGCACGTCTAACTGATGTCTTGTCTTCAATACTCCTTACCTCCTATAAACATGAGAAACATTTTATTGACTCACTCCCCTCTCCAGTGAGTGTCAGTTCAGCTCACCAGCAGAGCTGCTGCCCCACAATAAACTCCCATAGGAGCCTGCATTAGTCTCATGTCTTATCTGTGAGACATTTTAATGCCTTTGTTCATCATCTGTGATGTGGAAAGATCACATTTCAACAGTCAGAGAAAGTGCAATTGTCAGCCAGACCTTTAGTCATTCTGGATGGAAATAGACGAGGTTGTCTGGTCCAAAGTAGTTTAGTGACTTCACTGAAAGTCTGCACTAGAGCTGAGAGCGCTGGAGCAGCCAAAAGACATGAGTGCAGTGGAGATCCTAGACTCTGAGGGGCCCCAGGCAAAGAAGCCCATCCAAAGAACTACATGTAGACTATTGGCAGAGGCTACAATTTACAGATGTCCCCTAAATGCCTCACATGCAGACTATTGGCAGATCTAAAATTTACAAGTCCCCTAAACATCTCACATGCAGCCTGTTGGTAGATGCTACAATTTAGATGTCCCCTAAATGCCTCACATGCAAACTCTTGGCAGAGGCTACAATTTACAGATGTCCCCTAAATGTCTCACTTGCAGACTATAGGTAGATGCTACAATCTATAGATGTCCCCTAAACATCTCACATGCAGGCGGTAGGTAGGTGCTACAATTCAAAGAAGTCCCCTAAACGCCTCACATGCAGACTATAGGCAGATGCTACAGTTTATGGATGTACCCTAAACGTCTCACATGCAGATTATACTGTAGGTAGTTGCTATATGTCCCCTAAATGCCTCACATTTACAGACTACAAGCAGAGACTTAGAGGGGTTTTGTGGCAACAGCAGTGCACAGTATAATGTCTTTAAGGGAGGTTTAAGGGGGTTTATAGTTGTCAATGCAAAATGTGCAAACATGAGGGGCCATCCCGGGCCCCTTTTCCTTTTGGGGCCCCAAACCTTTGCCCGGTTAGCGTCCCCTGATAGGTTGCCTCTGCGGGAGAGGTGCTACCCTGCCTCTTGCTGCCCGTCTCTACTTCCATCACAGACAGTTTCGTGGTCATTTTGATATTTTGAGACAGAACTCACTTTGTAAAGTTGCTGCAATGCTCTTGCTCCTAGCCTGGCAAGCTAGCTGTTCTGGTGTTTGTGTTAAGCTAAGCTAGCCAGCTGCTGGCTGACAGACATGAGAGCGGTATTAATCTTTCTATCTTACGGTCTGTGAGAAAGTGGGTAAGTGTACTTTTTCTTCCCTCTCTGATCTTTGCTTCAGCTAGTTGCATCATCCTTGCTGATAAAAAAAAAGAACAGCAAGACAACATACTGTATCAAAGACTACATCATTGACAGTTACACACACTGACAGTTGCAGAGTTCAAGTTTGTCTAGGAAAGACAACTTTATTACTGTGTTTCTCCTCATCCTGAGGGGAGAGTTTTGAGAGACATTGAGCTCCTCTTGTCTTTGTCTTTGGAACCAGCTGCCTATCTCTCTGGCAACTTGTCAAGTGGGGTTCAAGGTCAGGAGGAAACTGTAAAAACCAAAACCACCGGTGGCCTCGGTGTGACTCCATGAAAATAGTATTCACAAAGCGGCTGGAGAAGCGTGTTATCTCCTGTTAACAAAGCTCTGGTTGTCAGAAGCCGTGTTTACAGACGAACAGCACTGCCCTCCAATCACTGAGTCTCTGATAACTGTGTGAGAAAAGTGGGAGACAAGTTGTTGCTGAGTGTTGGCAAAACAAAGCACTTGAAGAAAAATGTGACATCTCATGCTCAGGGGTTTGTTTTCAACCAGGGAGTGATAAGCACTTTAGGTCAAAGGTCGCAGCACAGGAAGTGTTGGAATTCTCTCAAGGCTGTTACAGTGGTGACAGCCAAGGACAGGCCACATGGTTGTTGGCCCTCAGGCCTGTCTCACATCCCGCTGACGTGTTATCTGCACATTCAAATTGACTCCACAGCAGCACGCCAATGTTTTCTGTAGCCATGGCATAATTCAAGATGTTCCACAGACAAAAGTTCAACATTTTTCACATCCATATTTGTATTTTATTCATTTTTACCTTTGCTTGCCACTAAAAGCTGCAACCAGAATAAGGATTGTCAGCGGGGAAAATAAATGAGATGAAAGAGATGGATGTTGGATGTTGGATGTTGGGAAATGGTTTGGCTACAGAAACTTGGATTAATGCTGCACAAGCAGTTTGGTGAAATATATCTCGTTGACATTTTATGTTTGTTGAAGCTATAAAAGGATGTTTCTGTTAACTAAAGTGCTCTGGCAAGGAGGCGGGAACTGTGGCTCAGTGTTGGACGTCTATAAAACCATGAGACTGACGACTCAATTAATGGCTGAACTTTAATTTAGGCCTGAACTATCCCTTTAATTGACTTCATGTTTCCAACACATCACTCAGTCTACTAATTCCCCACCAAAACTCCCAACCAAAAAACGCACTTATTAAATTCCTGGATGCAACACAAGCCCATTATATTACAGTTAAACTTTTACAAACTCAAATAAACCCGACCACATTCTTTTCTGCCGCACAACGAAACACAAAAAAATCACACAAATAAATGCATGATCCCTTGTGTTATAGGAGCTTTCACAATCATACATGGGACAATATAGTTTGTTTTTCATAGTTTGTGGTCAGACTTGAAATTGCCCCTGTGGTTACCAAAGAAAGAAGAGGTTCAAACTTCACCTCAACAAAGTGCCAAATTCAGCAGTTTCTGCTTGAGGAAGGGCGAGTTGTCTGACACCATGTTTCCCAACATGTGGGGCAGGATCCAAAGGGGTTGCGGAGAAATCTGTGGGGTGTCACGAGATGATTAACAAGATAGAAAATGAAAATAACAGCTTTTCTCTAATTGTTGCTTATTTAATGTGAGATGTGGAGAAGTTTTACCTCTTTAAACATCTAAAAAAAATATCAAAATAAAACAATCTGATGAGGGAACATTTGGTTGAACTGCTTGGGCGCAACTTTTGACATAGGGACACAATTAGATATTAGTTCACTTTAAACGGTCATAAGGGAAGGAACCATTTATTATTTTTTATAACTGATTAATCTGCCAAATAGTTTCTCAATTAATAAAATAAGTACTTGCTTTATAAATGTTATAAAATAGTAAAATATTCTGAAAAATCAATTTTTTTTGCTATCACAATTTCCTGAAGTTCAAGGACACCCTTTTAAATCCCTTGTTTTGTCTAATCTACCCTCTAAACCCTGGGGTGCACCTCATAAGTGACCGTCAGCTCGGGCTCCCCATGTTTCCGGTCTGTATCTCCACTACTGCTGTCAAAAAAGGTGAAAAAATGCTAAAATAAATATACTAAAACACAAATATATTCAATTTACACTCACACAAGATAAGAAAAGTGGGGATTTCTCATAATGGAAAAACTGAACCCACAGAGGCTTGCCATTTTTGCTTGAAAATAACAGTTAATCAATTATCAGAATAGTTGGATTCATTTTCTGTCTATTGACTAATCCTTTCATCTCTGCTTGTGTGGTTAACAAATGTCCATCATTCATCAGGTAAGTGGCAAAAGGTGGGATTTAAAAGGCATCATACTTCACTCAGGGGGCTGTGAACTGCTAAGACAGGGACTATTGTCGAGCAGTTGTCTCTGTGGAATAATAAATATTATTTTGTAATCTACAGTAAACCCATGCTCTCTAATGAGAATCTGAGGTATAAAAAACAATCCCAGCCCTCTGAAAAAGAATATCTCCACTGGATTTTTGTGGGTCCACTTCAGTTTAGGGCTCCCGGATTCATCACCACCATTCACCCCTTAAGCGATGGCACAGTTAAAACTTCAATGGGGGTTTTTTTTTAACAGTTTTTGGGCAGACTTTTGGCCCCAGAGTTGGTTTTTGCTCCTCACATGGGACATTCTTGTCGAGCAGCCCCTCCCTATACGTCCCTCAGTGCGCAGACTCGTGGCTCCGCTGTCAGGGCAAGGCAGTCTGACAGTATGGCGGCGGGGTGCAGCTGGAAGGATGCTACTGTCGCCCGTGATGTGTCTATCGCCGGCAGGACGTAAATGGACAATTGACGGCAAAAAGAGCAGAGGATTCAGCGAGAAAGGCCTGTCGCCGTAAGCTCCAAAGATGGCCAGGCTCGCCGACTACTTTGTGGTTGTTGGCTACGACCTCGACAAGCGAGGTGGGTGCTTTAGTTAGCCTACGATGCTAGCATTAGCGGCGTATCATTAGCTGTGGGCAGACTGGAGGCTAGGAGGGAGGCGGGGACTGGCCGGTCGCCACTCGCAGCTGATCGACTCAAGGCGCTGTCAGCTCGGAGTTAGCAACGAACTGTAGGCCGGGGACGCGCAGGCCTCACTGGATTAGTGTACTTAAATGCTCGCCTGTCAGCTGGTGTCCCGCATTTCTGACGGGGGAGCGCAGTGAATGCACAGCCTCACTGCAGTGCTCAACTTCCAGACATGTTTTAGCTTCAGCAAAACAAACCGTTTCACTCTGTTGACAGCAAACTTGCTAAAAGCTAACGGTAGCCGGACAAGCTTGGGGGGTGGTGGTGGGGGGAGGAGGGGGGTCTGTTTGGTCGACTGTGACCTTAAGACGGATTTATTCACCCGTTTCAGTTTGAGTTGTCTCTCATGCAAGTGTTGCCGGTGCAGCTGCCGGTATTTTAAATCAGGATTTTTAAAGATGCTAGATAGCGACCTGTCAGTGTTGTGCCTGCAGGGTCCTGAACAGCTACTTGGGACAGTCAGTCCACGAAAACCCTGCACATTTCCGCTTGGACTTGATTGAAAGCTTTTCAGAACTGGAAATCGATGCTTCTCGGCGGAGTTGCAGATTGTTTTCTTTGTTTGTGTTTTGAGTGGATTAACCCAGATGGCTTTGCCCCTCCCTGAACCCCCTTGGACCGGAGCTCTGTTCCCTTGTGTTGTTGGGACGGGGTTTGGACCGTTATCTGAGCCCCCCCCCCTTTCACCCTGAGCCTTGGCCTAGATCTGTGCAGTATAATGGCCCGTTTAATCATGAAATATTCATCCTGCCTATTCGATGGAGGCATGCAGCTTGTAACGTTGTGGAGCCTTTTATTTAGAGTGGATTTTTGCCTATGATTTATTCAGAAGAGGCAAATTGTAACATGACAAGCCCTCTGTGGCTAAAAGCAGGCAGAGAACCGGCTTTTATCTTGATGATGCTGGGCCAACATACATCACATTTCTCATTGCACGAATGCACTTATTGCATCTTGTATTTTTTCAGAAGGGGCTGAATACAGGATGTTATAACGTGGACACTGCAAACTCTGCAGAAACTCTCCTTCCTGTTCTACCCTGCTTGAATGCAACGCAGAGCAGAACAAGCCTGTAAAAAGCATCTGGGAACCAGACAATAAAGCCACAGTGGCTTTAATGGATCAAGGCGCCCGTGCCTTGTAAAGCCAAACATTTAAGGGTGATGATGATTGCTGGTGTCTGCTGTTGCATTACTGTAACTTTATTCCATGCTTCTAGGTTCAAGTGTTTTGTTGTGTTGACCGGCTGCAGTAGCTGCTATTAGATTACTCCTATCATTATCATTGCAGCCAATGACAAGCCTTTATTAACTTCCTAGAACAGCCGCTGCAGTTAGATCAATACGCTTCTGCTCAGTCTTTTTTTGATGATGTCTTTTGCTCCTATAGGTTTGTCTGGTTGAAGATTTTAGCATTCCAAGCTCCAAAAGGAGATTAGCTGAAGATTTTAGCATCGCTTATATTGGCATATTCCTGTTGAAAGCATGCTCACCAATCAACAATCAGTGTCTGCTACAGTATCGGTGGGAGATGTGAGGGGTTGGAGACTGGAGATTTCCAAATTTTTGTGCATGTGTACAATGACCTTTTGGTTGTATTTTCATTTCTCCAGCTGTGGTGCTGCTGGCACTGAATAACTGTAAAGAAAACACTTGGCTGTGAGTCAAGAATGAACGGTCCTCAATCATAAGAATACCAGGAATTCTGCAGCACAGTGGAGTTTCCTCTTGTGTCTAAATATCTCATGCATCCTGTCTACGTGTGTGTGTGTGTGTGTGTGTGTGTGTGTGTGTGTGTGTGTGTGTGTGTGTGTGTGTGTGTGTGTGTGTGTGTGTGTCAGAGAGGGAGAGAGAGAGTCTGTGCTCGTTGCCACACAGTTGGTGGAATGTTTTTGCAAGCGTGGGCACTGACAGGTTTTCAGGACTAACATAATCGCGGCACATCTGCCTCTCAGAGTGCTGTCACTGACAGAAACCTCGTGGGTGTTTACAAACAGAACATCCCACAGGCAGAAGTGTGTCTTGCCTGCTTTTTTATGATTTTAGATGGAGCCTTTAAACAGCCAGCAACTGTTTGACTTGTCCAAAAGACACTAACCTGAGGCCAGAGCCTTGAATCATCCATTCACTCTGTCTCATTGTCTCTAAGGTGTCAGGTTGCTCACATTGTGCTCAACCTAGATGCTAAGCTCTACTATTAGTGGATCTTATTTGGAGCCAAGATGGCGGCCTGTGAGTTGGGAAAAGTCCATAGTTGCGGGGGTGTGGTCCCCCTTGCAAGGGTCTCTAGAGAAACACAGCATGTCACTGTATTTTGACAGCGGTTCCTCCACTTGGCTGAAGACCTGACGACCAATTAGATACACAGTGTGATGCCCAAACAGGAAACAGAGGAGGGAACCCGAGAGAGACGAGAATCCAGTTTGCCCCCTTGTGCGTGTCTGAAAACCAGGAAAGGGGGCTTGTTTGGTTTTGTGTGTATCTGTGCGAGGCGCTCTCGTTCAAGACAGTGCAGAGACACACACAAATACACAGATGCTAGCAAGCATACAGGCTCTATTGTAGCTCCATCTGTGCGCCTCCGGCGCTGTAGTTTGAGGGTGTTGGTCATTGCTGCGGCGGCTCTAAACAGAATGCAGGGTGGTTGTTGTCAGGCTGAAGTGAAAGCTCTGGCATACACATCCTCCACTGAAGCCCAGCCTCTTCTACACACAAACACACACACCCCTACAGCTTGCAGTCGAGCCGGGACCATTCACAACATTAGAGGCCAGTGAGGACACAAAGAGGTGCTCGCAGGGCAGACGGAGCACAGATGTGGGCTGTTGTGTTTACAAAAAAAATACAATGTTGTCATGATTGTAGAGGTGTGACATTGTGATTTGCTAACCATGTGTAAGACTTAATGGTGCTAAGATAGCAAAGAAAACAAAACAAGAGCCTCCAAGAAGTTTGTAACAGGACAGTTTTGTAGCATTGATTGTTGTGTCAGTTGGTTGTCAACTCTGTAAATAAAATAGTTTCATATTTCACTTCTGGCACCAGTTTTACTGCCAGCTTTCTCAGTTTGACTCACAACATTTAACATTTGAAAACTGAGGCGTGTCAAAAAATAAAAACCCCTTAAACGTAGTTATTGAAAACAGTATTGTTTCGATTTCCTTATTGAGACTCACATATTACATCGGCTCTCATATTGAAAAGTTGCCCTTGCCGTGACGGAGTCAGACTGCAGCTTGTCTCTGTTCTTGTCCGCACCATCTGTATGCAGAACAGCTACTGGATATGTTAATTTATCACATTCAGTGTGAGATGTTTTAGGGCTGGGTAATATGTCTCAGGGTGTGTGAGGCCATTGTTGTCAATGTTGGAATTCAGTGAGCAGGATTAGTTTATGGCAATATCAGATTTTTATATATTTGTTGCTTGATTTGTCAGATATACAGTTTGGTGGATTGCATTTCTGTCTGGTCATTTTTTCCATAAACAGTTTATTGCATTTTTTACTCACATATAGAGCTGGGCAATAGGGCCAAAAAGCTATTAATCACTCTATCAATAAGTACTGATAATTTTAATAACCTATTTTCAACAAAGACTATTAGAAGAGACTAGGAGAAGTGAAGTATGCTTCTGTGTAGGTTATGTTCTTTTGTCATGCGGTGATGTGAATGATTGGTTGTCAATTGTAGCACGCTCCATTATCAAGGGATGTGATAGGCTGTTTATGAGGCAGGGAAGGAGCAAACTTGGGGTTGTGTTCATGCAACCATGAAACTATTGCACTTTCTATCAAACAACCATTCTCTCCGGTTGTATTGCTATTGTTTTATCAACGAGGCCTACTATCATAATATGTGTCTTTCAATATAACGTGATGGAGGATTTTATCCATAACAGCCTCTCCTAAGATGCGAACATACTCAACATAGAGATGAGGCAGGCAACATTTTTTGTTGTATTTTTTTTGGGGGGGGGGGGTATTTTATGTCTTCATTAGGGAATTGACAGAAGAGAGATGACAGGAAATAAGGGAGGAAATGTGGAGTGATATGCGACATGCATGCAGCAACATTGTGATTCATGGTTTCCACCTAAAAACCTCTAGCCCCCCAAAGGTGTCATAAACAGGATGAATTTCTTGAAATGTTTGAGCATAAATAAAATATTCGATTTAGAGTTTCTGAAGCGCTGAAGTGGGGATTTCCATCATCATGACAACGCTATGACTAAACTATGTGGGTGCATTTCATACTGAGACGAAAGTGAAGTTGTACATGAAGCTACATCAGGATCAGAGGGTGACTACAATCCTCTCCTGAGTAGAGAGGAGTGTGTGTGATGCTGCCAGCAGTGCCTGCTTGCGGGCAGCCACTTCCTCCATCGCTCCAGAGCGGGGCTGCAGTCTTTCAGGCCCTCCAGAAATAGCCCTCACAATCTGCCTTTCATAGAGGGACCGAGTGACGCTGGGTCGTGGCAGTGCACTGAGGCTTGTGTGTTGGCGTGACCTGCTCTACCGCCTGCCACTCAGATGGCTGCCTGAATGTTTGTGGCTGTCTCTGTGTGTTTGCTGCGTTACACACGGCCATGTTTTCCCCCCCCCCCCCCCCTGTGGGCTGCGGGTTGTGATGAGCATACTGACCACTGGGCTTTTATATTTTGGGCTGAAGTTAACTGTGGCAGTATTTTGTCTTAATATGTAGTAGCTTTAAATGTTTTGGTATTTTCATACAAAAACTTTGCAAAAAGTTCTTCTGAAGTTTTTATGGCAGTCTTTAGACCATCACAGGATACTCAAATCCTCCATTAATACCAAATTGAGACGTAGTTTTAGTGTTTAGCTCTTGACGGCAGGTGAACCCATATTAGCTCTGTTAAAGCTCCATATCTTCC